CAGCTTATTGCTGTTCAACGCTCCTTCGTCGTCGCTGTAGATCGACAAAGGCTGACCTAATACCTTGAAACACTCCATGACTGCTTTATAAACGTCATCACCATCTTTATTCTCGATAGAGACTACTTTCTTAAAAACTCCAATAGTCTTGGTTTTTGGTGAGCAATCATTTCTAATCCCCTTTCACCTTCAAAGTGTTTATTTTCTAACACTATTGAATTAGCATATCTTCTAAATGCTGACTGAATATCTCTGACCTTAAATTTGTTTTGTATTGCGTGTTTGGTTAGTAAGTGTTTGACTTTTCCTTCACTGAACGCATCTTTTGCCTTGTTTAAAGCATAACTTCTGTATTCATTAGTTTTCTTTACTGTTATTAGTTTCTTTGTTAAAACATTAGATATGGGTTTGTCTGTGTTGTATCTAAATTTCTTGCTGTCTATTACTATTGATTTCAATTCTTTTCTTCCTCTTTTTGGTATTTCTGCTAAATCATTACTCAATAGATAGTCCATAACTTTTTTTCATCATATAATATTATACATTTTATTTAGTTAATTTATCTTTAAGTAGGTTTTTTTAAGAATGCCTTATTTTAATCATAAAGAATAGTTAAGTATATTAGTAGGATGGATTGTGCGAAGGATTTACCCGTTGATGTGCTGGGTAAATTGTTTCTTATAAAATTGGAGACCCTAAATATATGAAAATTAAATATTGCCATATTGAGGCATTAAAGAGAATACAAAACAAATACACGATTTCAAGACTTGGTCCTAAAATAGCAAAAAACATTTGAAATCAAGAAAAAAAATATAATTGAATACTGTATTATGAGAGAGGGAGTGCCATTTAGTTTAAAAAAGTTCAGAAGACATAATAACAGAAGAAAAAGAAGAATTATTATCTTCAATTTATGAAGAAGTAGAAGATGGTTTAAATTATAGAGTTAAACTTGATATTGAAGTCCAATTAGTGGCAAGACTCGCAGAAACGGAATATGGAGAAAATGAATTTAGTTATAGAGATATTTATTTTATGAATGACTTTGATGAATATGTAGATGAAGATAATGTAGATGAAATTTTAGAGAAAGCAGTTGAAGAAATAAAAACCGACATAGAAGACCAAGATAAAGATAGTATAATAGGAATACAGGCATTTCATGTTAAATTAGTAATTATTGAAGACATTTACTACTAACATACGTATTTCTACTAATATTTACTTATTAGAATTATGGATGACTAAGGTAGGAAAATTAAAGGTTAAGGGTTTATCTTTTTTGTTGTCCTTTGCTTTGTTTTTTATGTTGTTTGGTTTGTTTTTTTGTTTGTTGTTTGGTTGTGTCGTTTTGGGTATGGAATGGATGAGGTGATGATGTATTGACTGTTGTGATTTTTATAAAATGGATGAGGTAATAGATGGTTAGTAGTTATGATTTATGAAAATGAATGAGATGATGATATAGGTGGTAGTGACGATTTTGTAAAAAATGAATGAGGTGATTGATGGTAGGTAGTGATGATTTTGTTGTTGTTTGTTGTTTGTTTTTGTTTTTTGGTTTTGCTACTATGCTGTTATGGTTTTATGGTATTATTCTTTGAACTGTTGTGATTTTGAAAAATGGATGAGGCAACTATACTTTGACTGTTATGATTTTCATTATAGTTTTGATATTGTTGAAAAATGAAGCAATCAACAATATTGAAAATCTGTGCTTAGACTGTTATAATTGAAATTAAAAAACTTCTATGAACTGTTGTTTTATACATTTTTGGGGGGACTGGAATGGGCGAATGCTCCAAACAGTTCTTCCCGTCCAAACTGATACACGTGGGTTTCGTCCAAAAATTTGGGATGACCCTTGCAATCTTAAGAGGGAAAATGATGGAAAATCAATGATAAACCGTAAACTTATATAAACCTTGGGATTTGCAAAGTTACAGGCGCTCATTGCCGAACTGAGGAGAATGGCGTTGTGCTCCAAGCCATGCTCTGAACTCCTGGAGCTCTTTTTTGGCGGCCCATAGAGTTTCATGAACCAGCTCAACCATGAAAAAAGCTACTTTCATACTTTCCCAAAAAAAAATGAACCAACCTGAACTGCAGAACCCTTAAATGGCAGGAATTGCCATGCTGCAGTCCTTTTCAGTACTACCAAGGCTTCCTCCCACTTTTCCGAACGCTCGCACGATCGCACAGCTGCGCTGTATGGAATGATGTGGTTCGACACTTGCCGCTGATGCATCAAGTCCAACAGTAGAAATGCCTCTTCCCAGCAGCCCCCCGCAGCACAAGCATTGATGGCGGAACTATAAGTTGACGCTGTCTCCCGGATTCTGCTTGCTAGAAGCTCCATGACTAAATCCAGAGCAAGCTCCCACTGAACGTCAGCTTCACATGAATTGATGGCGGCATTGTAAGTGATTGCAGTTCTTCTTATCTTTTGCATGTCAACCTCTGCCAACATCCAAAGGGCCTTGTGCCATTCCCCTACAGATGCAAAAGCACTGATCATCGAATTGTATGTGATAACGGTGCTTTGGATGTTGGAAACCTGTATCTCTGCAAACAAATCAAGTGCGCGCATCCATTGTGATGACTTTCCACAAGCGCTGATCACAGCATTGTAACAAATGCAGTTGACCCTGAGATCCCTTGCAGCTATCTGTTCGAAAACGCTCAAAGCTGCCTCCCAATGTTCTGCTTTCTCGCAAGCACTGATGGCTGCACCAAAGGTGATTTCGTTCCCCTGCATCCCGTCCCCATCGATGGCATCCAATAGTAGAAGCGCCAGGTGCCATTTCCCACCCTTTTCACATGCACTTATGGCTGAGCTGCATGTGATAAGGTTTCCTTCTAACTGACTTCTCTCCATTTGATTCAGCGTTTCCAGCGATTTGTCCCACTGGCTACCTTTGTTCATAGCACTCATCACCGCACCAAACGTGACTACATCCCCTTCAAGCTGCTCCTCCTTCAAGTCTACCCACAAACTAAGAGACCTCTGCCACTCAGCACTTTTGGCACATGAATTGATGCAAGCGTTGTAGATGATCACATTGCTTTGCAAACTTTGGGCGTTGATTTCTCCCAGAACATCCAGTGCGTGCACCCAGTTCTTTCCACTTGCGCCAATCGCAGCAGTGTAGCGGCGGAGAGTCTCCGTTGGCTCTGCGCGCATAGCATCTTTGGCAGGTCTGCCGCGGAAAAATATCACTTGCTTAAAAATGGCTTTGTCAGCCAAATGCCACTAATGGGCCAAGATAGCTGCATTGCGGGAGCAGCCCACAAAAAGTCTGCAATGCCTCTAAAACTAACGGCTTGGTGCTGCATGGTTTGCTTGCAGTTTTGCCTATGCTACTGATGTTGTTTCCATCTCAAGACTGCAGCTTGTTTTGAGGACGCTATTGCGCTTTGTCCACTCAACTAACTGCTTACAGTATTCAACTCAACAATGGCGGATGTGTATGAGAACTATCATTTCCAACTGCCATTCTGTATGCTTTCTAGTATTTCTAGTAATTCTAGTAGTAAGTACAGTACGTCACAAGGACATCCAATTCGGGCATTACAGTCAGGATAAACTGATGAGGAAAGTGCCCTTGTTCCATCATTGACACCCATAGGATCTATGAGAACAGATGAGAGCAGCAACTGTCTGCGGCCTGACCCACAAATCCATGCAAGCCATGCAAGGCCGTGAGCAACGCCAGCAGAAGCGCTCCTGTACCAGGAAACCCGACACCTCTGCTGCCTTTGCTCTACCAGACTCTACCAATGCTAAAAAGGTCATCAAAAGAAAAGGGCTATCGGCTGCCAACCTCTGATCAGTCTATTCTCACTGAATCTGTTGTACAAGCTCCAGCCTCGATTGCGCTTGCCCATGGCTATTGTGGAAAGAGGCAGGGAATGTTTGGGAAATATGCTTGGCATCGCCTCTTTTCAGTTGCTTCAGGTGAAATTGGCTGTCTTTACCAACATCTTCTGCACATGGAAAATCTTCAGTGTGCAAAGTTCAGGAACTTCCCGTCTGTTCGATTCAGGAACTTCCCGTCTGTTCGACACCACATCGGCGTGATTCTGTATTCTTCTATGTTAGCAGACTATGCAGAGATTCCGCAGGCCACACTTACTGAAACTTGAAGTTCATCATGACTATCTTCAGCAAGCTCATCAGTGTTTGTTGAGGAGCCGAAATGGCCCAAGCTGACCACGGCAGACAAGCCTTCGTAACGCTCTACTCAACCAGTGCAAAATGTTGGTACTTGCAATGTTGGTTCCTGTCAATCCCACAAATGGCAGTTTTGCAGTACGATTTCACGTTGCTGTCTCATTACCAAGGCAGACTTACCACGCACTTCCCACGCAACCTCTTCCGGGCACCCGGCAAAACAGCAGCAACGGCCAAACCACGCAGTCGATGACATACCTGGGACCTTGGCTGCCCCTGGGTCCTTGGTTGGTAGTTGAGCCATCAAACTGGCGAAGCAGTAATGTCTCCTGGGGCATCCATGTATGATACCGATCCCACAATAGTTCAACAGGAACAGAACATACAAACTATTCCTGTGCATATCTATTTGGTATATTTATGTATATTTGGTATAATATACCATGCTGCAATGCTGCGCCACGCATTTCCCCAAAACCCCAACTGATTCCACCACGCTACGCCACGCATCTTGACCACGTGCCTTTCTCATCAAGGCTTCGCCCTGGAACCAGCTCCAACAGATTTCCGCAAATCTGATAATGATGACCAAACGTGGGATATAAAATCCCTGAAATGGGATAACCAACATAATCTCATCATTTCCCTTGAGGATCATCCCATATTTGTCCCTCAAATCTTCAAACGTTTTTTCTGACCCGTGTCCAGGGCAATGCCTCCCATCTGGCACGTTCCCAGTCATTGTTCGCCTCAGAACAATCCGATCCAAAACAACAAGTGATTCCATGCCCTTCGCAAATGCAAAACAAGCAGCAGCTGGAGCTTTTGCCACAGCAAATGCACATGCTTCCTTGTCTACTGAGCCTACTTGTCACCCTGAACTTTTGCAGGACCGTCTCTCTAACCTAGACTTCGGCTGACTTTCTGCGAGCCTCCAGAATCCCTCAATTCTGAGGCTCCAAAAATCCCTCAATTCTGAGGCTCCAAAAGTAAAGATAGACTGAGGAGAAACCCTCTACCTCTGATGTGTGAGTTGCAAAAGCATGTGACCCACACGCCAGAGGCCAGTGTCACCATGTCTGTAGTGAAGCAGTCAACAAAAGTAGCGCTCAGCATGATCTTTGCAAGGTCAAGAGGTTTATTGTGCAGCCTCATTGGCCGCGAGGATCAAACAAAGCATGCAACGTGGCCTTGAAAAAACTACTTAGCTACTTGTCTTCCCACCGCACCCTGTATTCCGTTCGTTTCTGTTCTGTCTGGAACAAAATCTAGCCATGATGGCCATGAGTCATCATGAGCAGAAAAAGAATTCCACTGCCTGAAAGGCACCCTTGATCTGATCAGGTGCTTTGTTGCTGTCTTGCGCCATGCAATACTCCAGCTGGGTATACCTGAGATTTGGCGATTTCCATCTTGAAAGTCTGCAATGGTTCAGCCCTTGACACAGCACTCTGCATATGTGGCATCTTTGTGTTCGGTTCCGTGGTCGATCATCAACATCAATATTCTTGTTCTTCTCTTTCTCACTATTTTTCTTCTTCTCGCTCTTGTCCTTCTTCTTCTCCTTCTCATTCTTGTCATTCTTATATTCTTTTCATTCTTCTATTTCCTCTTGTTATTGGTCCGCAAGTCACTCTCCGAGGCTGACTCTGATTCTTCAAGTTGCATGTGGATGGCATCCTCATTCAATCCAGCATCGATACACTCATGGTCCGGACCCACGACGCACTTCAGCTTGCACTGGTCAGAGTCTTCAGGAAAGCTCCTCAGGACACTGTGCCAAGGCTTGCATGTGGACTCCTGGAAGGTGTTCAGACATCTTGAAGAGCTGTGAGCTGCCTGTCTGAAACATTCTGAAGCTGAGGCCAAAATCCCATGGTCTACCCATCAGCGTCCCCATGGGAATTGCGAAATTTTGGGGTCATCTCCGCTTTCTATACGCTGTGATCAAAGCCAGGGTACCGATCTGGCTGCAACTGGATCTTGCCCCCGTTCCCTTGAGGATTGGCCACCACACTTGAGTCAAACCAAAAATTTGGCACTTTCACCTGAGCAGAAGAGCCAGCACCTTGTAATTTCTGGTGAATCCAATAATGAACCATCCCCACATTCACCAGAAATGGGAGGTATAAAATAGATTAATTAATATAGTATATATAAACCCTCCAAAATTGGAGATTTACAGATTTACTGTTGGTTTACACTATTGTCTGAAACCTTTGAACTCATCAACACTGAAGGAGGCTGGAGGGATCATATTATTCCACAGTGCAATGCCTCAAATAAGCCTACCTTGCTTTACAAGTCTTATAAATCGACCATTTTCAGCATGGATTTTGAAACATTTTAAACTCAAACTTGTGGCCCTCTGCCCTGTCCCCATTTTTATCTTCCATGGCAGCACGCCCAAAGGACGTGAGACTTGTACCTCAAAATCGCCGATATATTTTGAATCGAGTTTCAATCATTTGGCTATGGTCAAATGGGTCAAACATATTCAAAAATTAGGTATCCGAAAGTCGGATAGGAAAAACAAGAACTTAAAGGTGTCATATATTGATGCTTTGCAGGGTCTTCACGTTTCATCCATGGCCATTTCTTACAGTCTGAAAGCAGACTCCGGGAGTTTGCGGTTCAGTGACGCGAATGCCTGACTGCACCCCAGCCGAGTCTGTTAGCTGATCTCCTATGCTCATGACCTCAGAGTCGCATCACCGTCGAAGGATCAAACCCCCAGGCCCCTGCTGAACTCACACCCAAAAATTAAGCTGGCAAAAAAATGGATACCACAAAAATATACAAAAATCCTCGAATTGTATGATGTCACTGGTTGTCACCTCGAACGAAGTTCCAAGGATATTTGAGGCATCACAAAGCAAAGAAGAGTGCCACAAACGTCGAGACGCCCAGTAGACTCGACGATTCGAATGGAGCCAGTTTCGTAGCACTGCCTTGTATGCTACGGAGCAACCCTGGGAGTCACAACCACCGACGCCACCTGAATGGAAAAGGCCGGCCTTCGATTGGGTGGAGGATGTATATAAATATGTCTCAAGCACAATATAAATACCAATGGTACTCAGTGATGGCAAGTAATACCGCTTTACCATACTTCACCTGCGATTTCTGTTGCAAGAATTTTGAGCGTTTCTGGAGAAACAACCTGCTGTAAACTTCTGACCCAAAGCCAACAAGTGGGTGAAACCACATGCATGGCAAACAGTGCAAGTCTTGAAATATAGGAACATAAGTTCAATCTCTGTAGCGCTGATTCCAGGCCTGTCATGAAGACATGTTCCCGGACCCACTCAGTGTCGACAGGAAAGTTGTTCAAAACCCAAGTCTTTGTGGCAGCTGCTTTCAGCTGGGTGCAGTACCGCGCAGTCAAGAAAAAGCAGTCGAACCTCACAAGGGCACGGAGTGTCAGCCCTGATCGCTCACAAGTTGCCTCCAATGCGAGCCGATTTCCAAGAGTTCGCCAGATTTACCCTAGAATTCGTTGTCAAGCGCTGACTGCTGGCCCCATACAACCATGTACAACCTAGGGACCTAGCCTGCTCTGCCTGTCATGCCTTCCTACGTGAAAGGGGTCCCAATGTTGGACTATGATCCTAGCGTCAAACCACGTGAGCATTGCTCCACTGCCGGGACGAGCCACTTTGCTGTTGACTTGTTGTCGAATCGACACCAGCGTTTCGCAAAGTCCACTGCACGGATCATGGGAGGAGCTTTGCCCAAAATGTCTGTGTCATTGAAGCCTCGCAAAAACATCCGTGCAACCTTTGAACCAGACTCTTTCAAGCTAGACGAAGAACCAAATGTGCATTGATGTGCATGAAACATATGAAACTCACTAAAACTTTCCTCAATCTCGGCTTTACCTTGAGCTACCCAGCTACCCCATTTTGATTGCCAGTCTCTCCTCTGGCACTCCCCTTGTGCCCCTTGCCATCCTTGCCTGTGTAAGCCAAGGTGTTGTCAATGTCAAACATGATGGCCGGAACCTGCCCCTTGAACTCAAAGTTTTGCACCGTCTCCAAAGTTGCGTCCGCTCCATCAAAGACATGTCGAAGGTGGATGGCATAGCGACTCTTTGGAGAATAAACCACGTAGCTGTAGTTCGAATGGTTCAGCTTTGGATCAGATCCAGGATTGGTGCCCTCTTGTGGACTCACTGCCGCGATGGAGTTTCGGCAGTGTTGGACGTTGCCTGCGCAGGAAATGCGACGCTTGCGAACCGTAGAAGATGTAAACACAAAGCCAAAAAGCAGAGCGGAAACTCTCACCAACCAAAAGTGCCTTCAAACCAGCCTGATCGGCACACCGATCAACCACCAGCTGTCTGTGAAGCCATGTTAGTGCTAGTTAAATGTTGATTTCCACCACTGAACTGAAATTCTGGCCATCTTGCGTTGTCTGACTACAAACACTTGCAACAATGGCCATCCCTTCGATGTGGCCTGGCATGAATCTGTTCTGCTCTGCTGGCAGATTCTCGATCAAATTGGGAACGCCACTGACCTCAGAGTACCTTAGGAGCAACAAAGGAAAATGTCGGAATGAGGTCAAAGATGGTCAAAGGATGTCAAAGGAAAGTTTACAGTAAACTCATGTAAACTCCAAAATTATATGGTGAAAACAATGGTCGCCTGAACATTTACCTCCAAACAATCCATTGCGAAAAAGCATGGACAACCAGTGGGGGATATTTCAAGGTCATGCTACCTATGATACCAGCGGTTCATGGACAACATCTACAAGATTAAATGACCCATACCCCATTGATAATGTCCTTTCGATATATCATCGAAGGAAGTTTAGAAGTCAAACTTCCGACAATATGGACAGATGAAAAGCAGAGCAGGGAAGAGGCAGAGAGAAGAGAAAGATTAGAAGAAAGAAGAGAGAAGAGAAAGAGTAAGAAGAAAGAAGATGCAGATGGGTGAAAAGGTAGGAAAGTCGCGAAATATTGGTTTTTCCAATGATTTGGGGCCCCGGAGGGTCGAAAAGTAGGCTCGCTAAAGCGGCGGGGGCGGAGCCAGCTGGCCAGATGAGAGATGAAAAATTGCACGCCGTTGTGGCGCACATTTGCAAGTCAAAATGTACAAAACACCTGGGTCTCGGAGCACTTTTGGAAGTTGGGATGTCGAAAAAGTTCAAAATGTACAAAACACACCACGTTCGGACCACTTTTGGAAGTTGCGATGTCGAAAAAGTGCACGCCGTTGTGGCGCGAAGCACATTTCGAAGTCAAAATGTACAAAACACACCATGTACGGACCATTTTTGGAGGTTCAGATGTCGAAAAAGTGCACGCCGTTGTGGCGCGAAGCACATTTCGAAGTCAAAATGTACAAAACACACCATGTACGGACCATTTTTGGAGGCTCAGATCTCGTTTCGCGTGGCAGCCGCAAGGGATTGTGGACCTTGTCAAAAGTGACCAAAACGTGAGGGTTTTGTAGCATTTCCAAAAATGATGGCAGGCATGGGACATTTGAAGAGGATCTGCAAAGATGCATTTTCGTGGCAGGCGCAGTACAAAAGACATGTTCATGAGAGGTGTTAGGAGGTCAGGGCGCTGATTTCCTGAGAGGGCTTGCATTTTGGAGTATCAGATGTGCAGGTTTGCTAAGATGATTTTGCGTGACAGGTGCAGCACTTCGTATGACCTGGCATCAATTTTCCGTGGCAGGCGCAGTACCTTAGACAGGTGGACTGGAAAAATCGCAAAACGCATTGGTACGAGTCTGTCAGCTCTGCACTCAACTTTCCATTTTTGAAGGAAGTCTCGCAGAATTCTTTCGTTTTTGATGTCTTGAACTTCGAAAAATGAGGAAGTCTCGCAGAATTGCTTCGTTTCGGATGTTGTCAAGTTCAAAAAATGAAGACGTCTCGCAGAATTGTTCCGTTTTGGACGTTGTTATGTTCAAACATTAAGGAAGTCTCGCAGAATTTCTTCGTTTTTGATCTTGCAGATAGATAGATAGATAGATAGATAGGTAGATAGATAGATAGATGGATAGATAGATAGAAAGATAGATAGATAGAGAGAGAGAGAGAGATAGATAGATAGATAGATGGACAGATAGATAGATGGATAGATAGACAAATAGCTCGAAAACTAGACAGCTAGATAAATAGATAGGGAGATAGATAGACAGAGAGATAAATAGATAGATAGACAGATAGATCAGTAGGTAGGTAGGTAATCAGAGAAAGATAGAGAAACAGAAAGAAAAAGAGAGAAAGAGAAAAAAGAGAGAGAGAGAGAGATCAAGCACCTTTCAGTCCATCAGTGGCTTCGCTCTGCCATCCCTGATTCACAACAACCAAGCTCTCCTATAGGTTTCCTATTTTTGAAACTTCCGCCTTGCGCGGTACTACTGGTAATGCCACCATTCGCCGTTGCTGTGATAGCCAATGCCCCTCTGTTCACCAATCGGTGGGAAAAGGACATCCAACTGGGACCATCCAGGCAGCAAAACAGATTGCGTCAATTGTTGGCCGGCACTCGCACTAGGAGAACAGTGGAATGTCTGAATCCAAGATCATGGCCCTGAGTCTGCCAAGCTTCATCTCTAAGAGATTCCCATATCGGAACTTCCAATAGGCCACTTCTTTCCTCAAAGCCTCCAACTCCTTCTTGTCATCTTCTTTCTCCGCCAAACGTCGTTCCAGAAACTGTGCCTAGTGCAGCTGTGGAGAGAAGCTTCGAGCAAAACTCAAATGCACTGAGCCATTCTGAGCCATTCTGAGTCATTCTTGCAAAACAGCTCAACCTGCCTGCGCAAATACACCCAGAGCAAGGCAACAAAAGGGCAGTGTGGTGAACGCCATGGCTGGAGCTGACGGGCTCACAGCTGAGCCTACGAATCTGCTTTTCTCTCCTGTGTGCTTTCCCCAGAAACACAAGGCTTGATGTAGAAAGGAAGCTGAAATGGCTGATTTGTTTTTTCCAAAGTATCCATAGCATCTACAAACTTCTGACGAGTTGGCACAGACCAATTCGGAACGAACAAACGGTTTGACCCTATCCGTGGAAGCGAAGTATCTCTCGGCATCCGGACTGCAGCGAACATGGCGGCCATTGAGGCTACCTGTTGATGACGTCTTCAAATCTTTCCTCTCCATCCCGAAACAGGATAGCTACAATCAGCCCTCGATGTGTGGGCCTCTGCATTCAAAGCTTCTCCGTGCAAGCCAAAGCCTTAGTAGGACCATGTAGGATTTAGTAATCTTAGTAGGATCGTGAAATGAAAACTTGAACCTTGGATAATCTTGGATAGCCGCATAGCCTTGGCATGTAGGGCATGTGGTGCGAATCGAATCCTGTGACACACTTCAGGCCCTGGCAGCACACGGGTTGAAGCTCGGCGGACCCGGACCCGGCAGTCCCCGGCAGTCCAATGGGCCACACAGGCTGCGATGTCGGCTGATTCAGTGCTCCGTAGCTATACCGTAGGACCCTGAGTTGAGCATCTCCAGCATCCAACGAATCCAACGTTTGCTTCGCCTTTCCAAAGCCTCTAGCGAGCCTCTAGCCGCTTCATCACTTTGGATAACGCGACTGGAGACACAATGGTCTTTGCCATTTTCTGCTGCCAAATGGTTTCATACTTTTTCAACCAACCAAGATCAATGTGTAATGTGTAGTCTGACACTTTTGTCTGTTTTTACATGTTTTTACTATGGTTTTGTATGTTCACGCGTCACATGAATGTATCTTTCTATTGCAGTAATGAGCTCCACTAAATCTCAATTTATGGTCCACTGCTTGCCAGCTTTGAAGACTTGAGAATCACTGGGGCCTCACCAAATTGGCAACGGCTACAGCCTGTCCAAATTCGCTATCAAGAGCTTTTCGCACCTGGCACAGGACGACTAGGACTGTGTGATTAAAAAAACTTAGGAACACTGAGAGGAACACGGGTAGACCCGTCTCATGCTTGGATGATTCTATATGATTCTGCTTCCTTCCCCGTTCGAAAATGCCCACACTCAAAGCAAAAAAAAGGAAAAGAGATAGCACTGCTATAGACTGGGGATGGGAACATATGGGAACAACTGCCCTGCCTCGATCCCAGGCAGAGCGTTTCGGCAAGCCTCCATCATGATCTCGCCAGTTGGGCCATCTGTCACTTTGCCACCAGCCTGCTGTGAGTTTCAGTGGAGAAATTTCTCGCACTTCTGTCAAGTACGGACGTCGACAGTAAGACCCTTTGTCAGACTCGGTATGGCATCATTTTCAGAGGTCTCTACTGGCAAACAACACTCGTCGGACTCTGACAATGAAAAGAAAGACTGCAAACAATTGCCAGCATATCAGAGCTTGAGTTTTACAAACTGCGGCATGATGTTTGACCTTGCAATTCCATTTCGGTGGGGTTGTTGTGACAATCACAGCCATGCTTTCAACATGGCATAGAGAGAAACCAGCAGCCTCAACGTATTCCACTTTGACAGGAAGATATTCGTTCAGCTCGTGAACAAAACGAGCGAGCCACTGGCCCAAGGACTCGAACAGGCCTGGGGTACCATGTCGTTTCAGAGCAGCACATACTGCATCTGTAAAACCACTTGGACGTCGCGAAAATGTTGACAAACACAACCTGTTGCATTTTCCCTGCCTCGACATTTCTCATCAATACTGCCTTTCTGCATCGCGACCAGCGCAGCTCGTTGCTCTGCTTTGCCTGTGATAACGTCCTGAGACAAAGATCGAGACCGTAACTCTGTGCGAACTAAAGCCTTCTGCCCTTCTGCGAGGACCCCGGTTGAAAACTGGTCTTGGATTCTCACATGAAATCTAATTTACCTACACCTCTGTGTGAGTATTCCAACCTGGACTCCATGGTATGCGTGTAATTAAGTCTCTTATTGCTGAAAATCAATGATATTCTCTCAGAAAAGGGGTATCTCACCTCACTAGCAAAACTTTGCGCAGAGTGGCGCCACCACGCGCAGCCAGGAGATTGAAGAACGCACGCTGGGTTCCAGCCATTCCTTGTGCTGCTGCTTCCAGGTTTAGGCCTTGGGAAAGGAACTGAGATACCATTTACCATGAGACCTTGCAGATCATCTATCACAGATTCAACTCTTGCTCTTCATATCTGTCCAAGCTTATGAACTCTCAACTGTCGTGAAGACTGTTGAGCCTTCTCGGCCAAGACACCATCGTGAAGAGGCACCACGCCATCTCGGTGTGACACGTTACAACCGACTACTGAGTGGCCAGCAAATTGAAGCAACATCAGCTGGTTGAAATCGTGTTTAATTAAATATACTGTACATATTATATATGTAATATATATATATATGTAGCATACTACTGCACAATTACATACTGAACATCCCCATGGCATCGGTTTTCACATGGCCATCACCATCGCCTGCAGATTGTCGCAGGCCCATGACCAACTTGCCAAGTTCCAGGATCCCATCGCAAGATTGGCCTTTCCACACCACACCTGACACCGGCTGTCACTGGCTGATTACATGGATTGCCCATTGAAAAAAGCCCGGATAGCCTGGGATATGTCATATCAATCCATAGTCTATTCCAAATTTCATCCCCATATGGCTACTCAGAATTTGGCCGGTCGCTTATGAATCTTCTGATCAGTTTTTTGTTTCGCAACTCAGATCTCTGCCTTGCATGGTCTGCTTTCAATCGGGAGCGTCACAAGGATCCATGAGACTGCCACTAGCAGAATCCTGAATCCTGACTTTCTAAGAAAATGGTCGTCAACCAACTTGTGATTCCTGCAGTCAGCTGGAATCCTTTCCAACCTTAAGTATTGGATGATTTGGATGCTTTGAAGATTATTATCAACTCATAGACTGGTATGTTGCAGCAGTTGCTTGGTGTCCCCCGTGTCTCCCAACCTCCAGCAAGTCCAGTACCGCAGGACAGGAAAAGCCCTGCTTTCCCGGCTGGCATTCCACTTGCACCATACAAGGCCTCAGCTTCCCGGCCGCACAAATTTTCGCTGGAAACCTCACAGCTTTGTGCCAGATATTCTCAAGAAAGAGTTCCAATACTCAGGACCCTCAAAAAAACTACAAAATATATCACGCAACAGGAAAACATCAAATCTGTTCGAGAATGATGCTTTTCTCGGAAGCCCTGTTTTGAGTTGACTCGGTTCTATTCTGAGTTCGCTTCAACCATCGCTCAAGTGGGTGAGAGGCCGAGGACACTGCAGAAGCATCTCCATCATTCACCAAGACTGTGGTACAATGATCGCTGACCTCAATTCAGACTTCATCTTTCAATGTGACTTCACCAATATCCCATGAATCAACTTCAAGGGCGAAGCACAAAGGGTATAAAGATCAAGTTCCTTGATCTTCACGGCAAACAAGTCTTGCGACTTATGTGCCTACGAACGAAAGCCTCTGATGGTGATCCAAATACTCCAGGAACTGCCTGCAGGAAAGCTGCTTTAAAATTCCTTAGCTGCGAAGCACAACAAATAACAAAACCATTGAGGACTCTCATCGATACCTGCCGCAGCACACGTTTCAACCTTCCAACCAAACCAGAACTACTTTTCAGGACTGGAATTAACAGTATCCAGTAAAAGTGAAAGTAATTGCATTTCCGCCAAACAAGGTTGTGGGGTCTCTTGCTACAAACCATTGACTCGACACTCGATACGGGTCGAAATTAAATACCCTCGCGTTTCAATGACTATTGACTATTGGGTTTGTCTGAAAATAGCCTACCATCTGGCTTTAGCACCATTAGTTTTCCCTTGTGAAACTGATAACTCAGGGTCCCCCATTTCAGTAAACCTTCACGAAACATTGAAAAAAAATGATACTGCTCTGAGTCTTGAATTGGACTGACACCAAGCAAGAAAACCCTAAATGATAGGTGAGATACCGTTTCATCTCCTCCACCACACACTTTTCGAGTCTTTCCAAGTCCTGACCAGAACAAATTTGTGACCAATTAATGCTGGGGAAAAAACATGTACAGTATTTATATATATTGTATTGTATTGTATTGTATTATATTATATTATATTATATTATATATTATATT